TCCTTATAATTCATACAGCAGCTCTCTCCATCCAGAGGGATATCTAGAGACAGAATTACACCTCCCACCCCAAGCTTCCAGTTTGAACCTGGGCCAAGCAATCCCTGTGGAAAACATCTAATAGAGACTAATTTGAAGGTCATCATTTAAACACACTTCACTTCTAATGCACTCCTGGCTCTGCACAAGTCCCTCCTAAGGATGGGATATCCAGACTGCATTACTTTAAGTATCATCATGGAACCACCACCTGCCAGAATCTGAAAGATCTTTGAGTGTTGCCATTCATCTTTCCAAGCAGAAATATCAATCCTTCATCTTCACCCTTTGTACCATATTATGATGATGTAATAACCAACTGTCTCCAGAACTTCTCTTTTGAATATATTTGCCTCTTAATTTCTCAGTTGTCCCCTATTCCCTCATGAATTTGGAACCTATTGCAGGAAAAAAAAGAATACAAACAACAACTGAGCTTAATCCCAGCAAAGCTTGCTAGAAATTATGTTGATGCAGCAAAAAAGCATGCCTGCTAGAAGCAAACAAGGCAAAAAAACCAGTTTCATGAATTAATAGAGAAGCAAGAAGAGCAAGAGACCAGAGACATAAATATTTGGAACCTCCTGTCTCCAGATTAGAATGCAACTCAGATGCATAAGGACTGAGCATTGAGGTTGACTGCTACTTGAGATGCATTAGTACAGCTGTTTAAAACTTTGAGTAGTTCCATCAAAGGCAAGGTTCCTCTCTTTGAAGTTAGGCAAACAAATATTGAGCTGCATCAGCTCCAAGTTGCCATTAGAAAAATAATATGCCAATGTCCACACACCACTAGAGTTTGCTGGTATTTTTTTTTCAGAAGACTGAAATGGAAATGGAATTCATTCTACTCTTTTTAAGAGCATTTTCCTCAGTTGCTCAGGTGATGATGAAGAACAGCCAACTCAGTTACACAGGGTAACCAAAGAATGGTAAAGATAACCCAGATGAAGCTAGACCAAAGGTAATGTAAAATATAAGAATATTATTCAATGCATTAGCATTGGAATATTTGTAGACAGATTTCTGCAGGCCGGCTGTGAATAAGAGTGGGCAGGGCATGATCTAGCATACATACAGTGTACAGTGCAGTACTGAAAGGTGTTGGATGAAGGAAGGGTTTGGTAAACCTCAACCATTCACCCAACGATAATCAGGGAATGACTGTGTACTGGCCGGGCAACGCATTAGAAGTCTGCATTCCCATCACAGTACCATACCTGATCTAGAAACAATGGTTATGGTTTCTTTCAATAACCTCCAACAGCTTCAGGCCTCCTGAGCATAAGACCAGGATTTTTATAGAGTGAAAATACAGCAGGTGGTACCATTCACTAACAGGGGAGCTGCCTGTCCCCTCCCTCATGACATCCACCAGGTCTTCTGTGGCCCTGCCACTTGCCCATTGTTGATTTTCAGCTAGTCCCAACACCCAAAGAAAGACCATTGTCCTCCAAGGCTGCAGGGCATGTAACTGCACCAGGGCCCACCTGACTGAACAGGTAGCCCTTCCATTTCATTCTTCACAGCCATCACCCTAATCCCCTGTCTAAACTACTATGCTTTGGTATTTACTTAGCTTGTTCCACTTTGTCAGTCAGTTAGGGAATTTGGGGGTTAGGAGTTTTGTCTGCTCTTTTTGTGGTTTGGGTTTTTTTTAATTTAAAAAAAAAAGGAAAAGGAAAGAAGATGATGGATTTCACTCTTTAGTTATGTATTTCCTAACTACCTGTACCAAGAACAAAGACACAAACCTTCTAAAATCTTTAAGAGGTTTGTTTTTTTTTTCTTTTGAAGTTTGGGATTTTCTAGCAGTACTGTTTCCCTTTCTATGCCAATTAAAATGTCTCTGTTTTGTATCTGATAAAGGTGCCTTTAACACGTGTGCACAACAAGGAGCATTGTGTGCTGTTACAATTGTTCAGTAGATGCCCAATCGCAGACAGATGGTGCTTTATCCTCACCCTCTCTTCAAGACAGCATAATGCATTGTCCTGTCAGGGACTAATGGAAGTGCCACTCACATTAGATGCTAATTCTGGTAGCAACTCTGTTGCTACACTACAGATGCTACAGCTACTGCTTGCAACTAATGCTTGAAGTGGGCAGTCCATGCTGAGGAGAGGCAGGACATTCAGAAGCCAAAGTGAGGAGCACAATGCAAGAACCTATGCAGAATGCAACCTCATGGTCAAGGGGAAAGAGACATTTGAAAAGGGAGACAAGAATGATGGAAAGAAACAAACACAGAGAAACTAGAAGAAAAAATGAGGACTGAAGATCAAAGAAGAGAAAACAAAGATCAGGAACCAAATGGGAAGTTAAAGCAAAAGATCCAACACAAATGAGAAAAGCACCTTTTCTCAGTAATGGCCAACACATCATGTCATCAGAAAATCAGCACTAGAAAAGTGCCCCACAATAGGGAAGAGCAGCTGAAACACAGGACATAGAGTGATGCCAGTGAGGGTAGGTTATTCTACAGTTGGATCTTGCCCCATTGTGCACCCCAAAGCATTATTGCCTTATAAAACTACATATGAATGTTTAACATCTTGAATAGGCACACTGTTGAGTACTGATTATTAGTGAAAATGAGAGTCTCAAAACTGACTCCTGGATACCTACTCCAAGAAAAAGAAATATACCAGGAGAGGTCTGCATAAACACCATAAAAGACAGGAAACTCAGAGATAAGTTTTCAGCTCTGTCCTGGACCCTCCCTTTTTTGTTTAGATAAGAGATTTCAGACCCAAGACTAATTTTACACGCTTCCACGCATGCATAAAGTGGGCCGAGAAGGACCTAGGCTCAAAACAGCTTGTGCTACAGCACTTCTGTCATGTTTTCCTTCTAGTACTGTGGTTGTTTACCATGGTCTGTATGTGGCATAGTGGGAGAGAGGAAATCCAAGTATTGGACCTCTCTTTCTGAAAAGTCACTGGGGCATGTGAAATCTTTTGTGTTTGAGAGAAGCTCCTACATATTTACATTGATGACAAATCTAGTTAGATACTCCACGCAAAACTTCTAATAACTAGCACTATCACGTCACTAATTGGTCCAGGGAACATAGGCCCTTCAATCTGCATTTGAGAGGAGGTTTCTTATGGGAGAAAGGGAAGAAAGGGAAGGAAGGGGCTATTCAGAGATGTTTATCAAACCTGAAAAGCCAGACCCTGGCAGCAGATGGTAGACGGCAAGCAGGAAGATTTTGTGAAGAACTAGAACAGTATAAAAACAGTGGAAAGAAGGAAAGTATTATGACAGCAGGAAACACTAAAGTGTAAAGATATACAAGGAAATACATTTACACTGTCTGTTGCTCCATTAATAGATAAAAATGGAGCAATAGAATAAATGCAAGTGAAATGAAAAAGCAAGAGTAGTCTATCACTAACAAGCTTATGCACCAACAAGCAGCTTGAGTCCAGGTCTTGAAATAGTATATTAGAGGAAATGTTTTCAATTTTTTTCTGAGGGTTGGACAAATGGGGTATACTGTTAACTTCTTACAAGTCTCCAGTACTTTATATTAAGAAGCTGTGGTCATGGTAAAAAGTAGATGTGCTATTAAGCAAGAAAACTGCCGCTGGTTCACAAAGTCAATGAGCTGTAAATCATGGGAAGTTGATAGGGTACACCAGGAAATACAAACTGTATACTTCTGCCATTCTCATGCCCTTATTTGTCAGGGGATCCACTGCTATCAGACACTAGGAATGGACTAGATGGGCTAAATATATCTTTGGTCTGACATGTTTGTCCATTTTTATGACTTTCTTTATAACTTTCTTTACTAAGAAATGACACGTCAAGGAGATAGAAGAGAATTTATTAATGACGGTATGTTTGACAGCCACTATACTGGACTAAAAAGATCTTGACTGGAGTCAAGGACAATGTAGGTAGGTATCTAACTCGTCACTCCACACTCCAAGTACACATACTTCAGCGACATACTTCCAGGCTCAGACCTCCTTACAACTCCATTTGCAATAGTCCTAACTATTCCCCATCTGGATCTTTCTTGAATAATACTTATTGTATTGTCCAGAAATTTTGCTGATTGTGTAACTGCATACAAATTGAATGCCAGAAGAAAATAGGTATTTTTTTCTTTTGTGGTCCAAAATAATTTTCCAGATTCAGAGCTACATGATGAACTTTCCCCTCTCAGTCACAATTTTTTTTTTTCCATTCCTTGTGCAACTCTGCCTGTGCAATTACCACCTCACTTGCAGTACGCCTTTGGATTTCAGTACCAATGCAACCATACTTTAATGTACTCTAGAGGGATATTTATACCACCTAGCTCTAAGCACCTAAGTTGGTCATAGTTATTAACCAGCTAGTTACTGCAAACTCTCTCTTTAGTCCACAGGGAAAGATCAGATCCTTCAGTCTCCTTCAGAGCAAGTATATTACCATAACCTGCAACTCTTGCTACTCAAGCCATGAGATTTTTATATGTAAAAGCTCCTAGCGGCACTAAATTCCACACCATCCTACCAAACTGATTTTAGTGTTAACCCAAGATAACTTGGGTTCAAGCCTTTAAACACAATCCACTCTCCTCTGCTACAAAGGTGCTGTCCTATAAGAGTCATAAGAGATTAGCTCCTCTTCATGAAAACCATATATCGCCCTTCAAGCCCACACAAAATTTTTCATAGGTGGAGCCCTACACAGTTGTGTGAATAAATTGCAAACACTTGCAATAGTTCAGTTTGCTTGAGCAAGATTCATTTTACAAATAACTCAACACAGGCTTAACTTCTGCCAGCCCCAACTAAATGAACAAGCACTTGATGTCTAGGGGTGAACAAAGTTTGGACAACATCAAAGTTTCATTTTTTTAAAACCATTTTTCTCCACCACAACTGTGTTAAAACACCGCTTACAGCTAGTCTTTAGTCTCATTTTTAATATGCTATTAGTATCTATAAAACACATCTTACCTTGATCTTCTGAAGAGACCGGTGACCTGGAATAAAACAACAAAGTCCAGTCAATCTTTGGTATGGAAAGGCCACAAATAAGATTCAATGTCACTGTGGGGAATAGAATATAGAGGAATTGGAAGGTTTTATTCTTGGGCTAACTTAGAAGGGAGGGCTGGAAGGCGTCTGACAAGAAAAGAGCAGAAAAGGGCAGAGACAGAGAGCAGGTTCTGCAGACCAGAGTGGCTCTATGGAGTCATGTCCATAAGACAGCTGGCAGCTGCACTGTTAAGCACTCATGCCAAGGGTTTCTGTAGGTACTTGGCAAAGAACTTATCTACTACTGTTACTGTTGGAAATAGCTGACATTACTGTTCAGAAAGTCCTGATCCTTCAGAGATTATTGAAAGGACCACAATTAAGCGTGGGCCAGGAGGAAACCTCACAGCAAAGGATGGTTGAGTATATTATAGCTTCAGAGGAACTTGCAGTCATTAAGGTGGACATTTTTCTTACCACAAGTCAATGTGGTGGAGAGCATAAAACCCTAGTCGTAATTAATACCAGTTCATGCCATCTTCACAAAAGCAACATAAACAGACAAAAAAATGTCTGGACAGATATAAGTACAGTAAAAAGCAACATAACAGCAGCAACACAAGAGTTACAGGATACCCTAACCACTGGCTTAAGCCTCTGATAATACTCCAAGAGAGTGAGGGGTTATAAAATGTGAGGGACCCCTCAGTGCCCCTGCTGATGAACAGAAGGGCCCCACTGAATTCCAGAGATTTGTGTCACAGCTCCCATCACTCACGATAGCACTCCTCATCCTTTTGGTCAGCACCCACAACAAAGGAACATAAAGAGGTGTAAAGTTTGGGCCCTCCATTTTTCTCTTTGCTGCAGTAGCTTGGCTTAGCAAAACTGGGGCTAACTGTACAGCCAAATCTGGGATGTGCCTTGGTTATTTAGACTAGATTGACAGCACAGAGTGGATTGGACCATTGCCTCAGCACTTCCCCAACAAAGATTTTCGACTGCATATATAGCCTTCCCACCCAGGTAACAAGGAGTTTGTTCCAGCAGTGAATGGGACAACTCATGCTTCCTTTCCAAGATATATTTAATTTTGCACCAAGGTACAAAAAACAACAAATTACTAAAGATTTAAAAACGTTAGTGTTGCCAGCAAACAGATCAAAGCTGACATAAGAAAAGCAGCCACAGAGGGGTGAAGGAAAAAGAAGGAACAAAGAGGAAAAGAGCACATGTATATTTAACTGAGTCAGCAGGAGCTAGGGGTTGGAGGGGGGGGCGGAAAGGAGGGTTAGAAACCCTGGATTTAGAGGAATAAAGGAGCTGAGGAAGGAGTCATGATCTCATTCCATAACAGGGGACTGAAAATGAAGGTTGAGGGATTATAGGACATCAGAAGCAGATATGCAAATATGTAGAGGCAAACAGGAAAGATGGAAAGAAAAGAAGGAAACTTTCCTAATGAGGTATGCAAATTTTTATTTTTAAAAAAGAGAGAGATTTGCAAAGAAAGAGAGGAAAGAGTTACAGCACAGCTGGAGCAATGGTCACTGTGAAAGGAAAAAATGTGATTGCCTAATTAAGATTCTGACTGTGCAAGAAGCCAATGTGTCTGTATGGATCAGAATTAATTAATCCTCTACTCCCATTAAATCCTCTGATTGCTGCTGAACATCCTAGGCATGTATCCTGCTCCGCTGCTAACGGGGCCAGCTCTGCCCTTGCACTTCAGCCATGTCTGTGGAAATACAGTAGGAATGCAGGTAACCCAGAAGATTAGCAGGCATCACTAGGACTCTGTCCCACTGCTTTGACCAGTTAGTTACAGGCTTTCCTCCACAACCCCCAGCAGAAACCCTTCTGAAGGTCAAAACAACACACAGTGTTTCCTGCAAGGTTAACAGTGCAGAATGGGCCATATCAAGAGGTCCAAATTTTTCAGTACTTAAAAATATTTTTACATGCAGGAGTCATGCCAGGTTCCTTAGCTGACGTATGCTGACTCTCCACCCGTTGCTAATGCAGTATCCCACAGCATCAGTAGAATTTATTCCTTTGTTTTGTTTCTTAATTGCACAGTTTCATCACCTTTCAGATCTTTATGTGAAACAATAAAATAAACAGCACAGATTATCCTATAATTTGGCTCTTCTTTATGCCTGGTAAAACAGATGTCATTAGTTCCTTAAAGCATCAACAACAGGAGAGACACTATTACAATACCACCACCTTCTCGATTAAAACATTGACGGGAGGGATGAAAAATGTTTGTGCATATTTAGTGTGCCCAAAATTAGTATGTATTTTACAAAATACTACCGCCATGTGCCTTTGTTGCATGCCTTGAACACAGTGGTTTAACAGTAAGAAATGTAACAGGTACTACTGTTGCACCTAGCAGTGTTTTCATTTGAAAGGCTTCATCAAGCATCTTTTGGAACTGTGTAGCCTGGTATCCTGAGAAAACAAGGGTTATATAAATCCCAGCATCTTGATGTGTACGTATGCACCTCTCTGCCTCACCCTAATAAAGTTTGAGCTTGTCGACTTATTTCACCCACCATTAACAGAGGGGTTGGAGAGCCAATTCCTGCTTTTAAAAGGAAACGCAATAACATAAGCTCAAACTTTCTGACGTAGCTGTGAAGCCACAAAAAGAGGTTTTGAATATCTCAGCCACAGGAAAGCCTCAACGAGAGCTTCCACCATTGGAGATACCAAAGGTTCAACCACAATAAACTAGGCGTCCTTTGTTCCACTACTGACATAAAGTATTTTGGCAAAGAGTGGACAGGACTTACAACATTCTCCTACAATTTCAGGCCATACATTTTAGCAGGGGGGAGGTTTTCCAAACCGTTCAAGTACTGGCCTAAATACACCAAGCGGAGTCTTGCTTGTAACTAAAACGTAAGGAAGTGATGCTGCTGGAAAGTCCACACTAATAGTGTTGGGCATTTTATGCACTGTCTGGTCTACCCCATGCTTATGATAGGCTCTAAGGGAGGAAAGAAAGAAAGTCTAATGACCTGCTCTAAACCACATACACTCACTCCTCAGCCACAGGGGGCTTTCCTGACAGCAAAAAAATCCAGTGGATGCTCATATTTCCGGTCACACATCTTTCTCTCAGGTCTGCCAGAAGTGTGAGGGATATACTGTGGCAGCACTGGTCACCAGACGGGTGTCCTGAGAAGGGAAGATTCTCAGCTGCTAACATCCACACAGTAACCATCTATCTAGCGCCTGTCAGCTGCCCTCAGAGTGTGATTCTAGCTGTGTGTTTGTCAAAGAAGCAAGTTATCATTGCTACAACCTCTATGCCTTAAAAAAAAGAGACAAGTCAGAGATACTTCAGAAGAACTAATATACCATCAAGATCTGTGGTCCCACCTCGGTCAAAACACTTTGCCAAATGAAATCTTGAAGAGATTTTAATTTGCTTAAACAAAACAAAACAAACACCCAAAACCTTCAGAAAAAGGTTCAGGCACTGTAATATCCTGTTCTTGGCCATTTCAGAATGGAATCACTTATTTTTCATATTAACTGTTACTTGTTTCTGGTTTTATCTTGGTGTAAAATTGTAGAAAGAAAGGCTCATCACCCACCCCCCCTGCTCCCAAGAGAGTAAAGACAGGCCAGATTGTCTATGAATGGCTACATTTCCAGAATCATGAGATTAAATTAGCTCTTCCACCAACAATGGTCTTTTCCCATGCATAAGTGTGAAAGGGAAGCCCAATTTAAAATATTTTCACCAAAGGCATTAATCTGACTTTTCCCCTGCCCTGATTTGATGGATGCTTTATGAAGAGCTATTGCTGTAGTGACTAGTTAAAGGCAAGAGAAATACTACTATGACGATAGGGAAGGGGATCAGAAGGGAGGAGGAGGGAAAGTATGTTATCACCTCCATTTGCTTTCCATGCTGTTCATACCCCTCCTTTTGCTACAGGTCCTGCAGTAGTGTTCTCCTCCTGTTGCAGAGTGGCAAGCTCTACTCAGAAGAGGTAACAGCACTTGCAAGCCTCAGTCTGCAAGGGAAAGCTGCATGTTGCCTGTTCTACCATTCCTTATGCAAGCAAAGCAGTACCTTTTGTGCCTAACACCAAATGCACAAGGATCTCCCAAGAAATGAGGAACACACATTTAGAAATGCATAAAATAGCCTGAATAATAATGTAAAAAACCCCTACTCATACATTCACTAGGTGCTTCCAGCAAATTGGAAGACTTACGACACTGAAGGCGTGAGACATGCCCACCTAAAACAGCACTGTGCCTCAGAGTTAATGGTCTGATCCAAAGCTCACTGGAATTTTTCCACTCACTCTTACAGGCTTTGGATCAATTGCTGGCAAAAATCTAATCCCCAGTATAGCCACAACAGCCTTCAGTATCATACAAGCCTTCCCCAAAGAGCCAAACACTCACAGCTGTTTCTAAGTGCACTCTCCAATGTGCAAGCACTAGATTTATTCAGCACTGGAAGGGTGGAAGAGGGAATATTCATTTCTAAGGAGGGAAGGGCAGGGACTGTCACAATTTCGAGCATAGTCAACTGAGGCTTAGGAACCTAAAGAAATACAGCCAGCCTCCAGCAGATGAATTCTAACAAAATTTCAGCAAATGGGTACATTATTCATGAAGACAAAAGCCTCTGGAGAAACAAACCCGGAGCTGATGTAAAGCAGCTATTTTAATCAATAAACCTGTAGCAGAAACCATCTGCACCAGGCCTATTTAAAACCAGCCATTTACAATTTAAAGGCCAAATAACAATCTGTGTGCAGCAATTCTGCTGGTTTTTATGACCGTTCCCCTTTTTCCCTGCTTAAGCAATGTATTTCTGCAAACTTTCTAATTCAGTCTGACAATAGCTGCCTGTGACCAGGGAAGGGAAAGAGCTTTCAGATTAAACCCATTCCTTCTCATTTTGTGTGTACATCTCTTCAGGACCGAAAGTGGCATCTCTATTGGGATTTATTCCTATATTCTCTGA